CTCCACTCTGCTTCCAATTCCAACCCATTCTCGTCAATACTAACAAACCCCCTCCTCACCTGGCTCTGGCCCATTGCAGGCCCCATAATAATCATTCTTCTCGCCTGTCTCTTCTTACCCTGTATAATAAAGTTCATCAAATCCCAAGTCGGAAAAATCTCTAATCAAGCTTTCAACCAGCTTTTACTCAGGAACTACCAGCTTCTGGCCACAGAAGATCCCTCACCCTCAGGTGACCTCCTCACTACACGCTGAGATGGACCCCTCTCTCCACTGGAAACTGTTCCTGGAAACAATGGCCGCAGACGCCTGACTCCTGACACCCATATCCTCTTGGCACCATTGGAATCAACAGGTCCTCAACCTATGGTTACAAGGAACCTTCATTGATGTCCAAACCTGAAGAAGTCCACATCTACTCGTCCTTACTGCGGGGAGTCCTGTCAACCCTTTCCTCCCAATCCTCAAGCCCTCACTCCCTTCTCCGCCCCTGTTCAGCAGGAAGCAGCCAGAGAGTAAGCAACGTCCACAATCCCATAGAGGAGAAAGGGGGGAATGAAGGGCCCCCACCAGTAAGATGGCAAACTTCCGGCTTCTCTTCGGGGTCCTCGGTTCCCGCCGGCGCCACCTGAAGCCCAATCACCTCTTGCCCCCTCCCAATCCCAGCACCTAGCCAACAGCCACCAGCCCCGTAGAAGTAACACCACAATCACCCTATGCGCCTTCCTATATAACCCAGCACCTTTCCCTAATAAAGCGGAACTCTCCGGTGAATTGCTGCTATGTGTCGCTCCTTTCCTTTCAGTCATGCTATATAAAATTAAAGCAAATGAGTCTCAGTATAAAGTATACAGCAAAATTATAATTTTGTTTTCAGTTAAAAAGACAGTTTTCTTAACTGTTAGTCTGCTCTTAATATTGAAAGATTGCAAAAAGTTCTCTAATTGTTTTATCAAAGCAGTTTTTCATGCTTAAAATCTCAATGAGTTGTTGGAGTACTTAAAATGAGATCTTAATATTAAAAAGACTAAACGCTAAAGTTTGCTAACAACTGTGTAACCTTCTTTATTTGCCTTTGAGATATTTTGTTGCCATTCTGGTTAAATAGATAAGTATTGCTTTATAGCAACCTATAATCCTATTTAAGCAAGTGCCTTAAAACTTTTAAAAGTTTCCCAAAATCAAATTCAGAAAAGTACTTTCTACCTCTAGTTAACTCTGATATTTTCTAGAGGGCCCCTAGAACATGTCAGAGAAACTTTTTCTCATTAGAGAAAGTATTTGGGTAATTTAGCTTATTTATCTGATATATAATTATCTGCTTAATTACCTAGAAAGCACTGTCAAAAGAAATAATGCTAAACTTTGTTACTGAATGTTTTGTGTTACAGATATATCCGAATTTCCTTATGTCAACTGTCTTACAGTAAGCTCTCATCAGATCTTTAACCATTCTCATTTGTAAGTCTTTTATTATTTATAGTCACTGTTTTATTACTCTTAAGTTAGTAAAGAACTAGATTTCTGCAGAACAAGTATTAGTTACATAAGATTAAGTAAACTAAAGAAGACGATTTTGTGGCTTTTTGTTTCAAATGTTGCTGATAAAGTGTTTTAAGCTTTTTCTCTTAAGCTGACAACCGTTTAGTAAAGGACTGCCTTTATAAGCAGAATTGAAACTTTATCTTTCTCACTACCTGATCCCTCCATAATTTAAAAACTCTCAGTGACTTTTATATTTCATGGCAGTATGTTTATTTGTACAAGTTCAATAAGAATCTGCTTTCCTTGTAAGAAGACCAATTAAAAACACTAGTTATATTACTGAAGCTTTAACTGGAACGTCATACCTGAGAGACACGTGTGTAAACTCAGATATGAACAGACAACTTTAAGAAACTAAGATTGACTTTATAAAGCCAACAAAGCCCCTTGGAAGAACTGGACTGGTACCTTGCTTACAGGGTTCCCAGCAGCCTTACAGGTGAGTAAGGAAGATCACTTCCTGGCAGTGCAGGAACCTCAGGATGTCTTGGGGACCTCGAGAAGAGAGGAATTCACCCAAATCTACAGGTACTGCAGGGAAAACCTGATGGCAAGTCTGGTTTGGCTTTCTGGCCTCAAGAGGCGTTTAAAAGTTCAATCTGAAATTTCTTACAAAACGTTCCAGCAAAGCATATTTAAAAGAGCCTATGTAATCAATTGCTCTTCTTGCTGCACTTATGCAAATAATCAAGCCAACTGTTAATTATTTTCTTAATCTGGCTACTTCTAATAAAAATAAGGGTGATTTTAGAGAAAAATATTGTTTCAGTAATGCAGTCTTATCTATACTAAATCCTAATACTAGTCATTGAGATGTAAACTCGATCCAAAATTTTAGTTTCCCCATGATAAATGGCTATGATTCTCAATTAGACTCTTCATATTTCTAGTTCTCATATTCAGCCTTGCATTCTTAATCTCATCAAGTTTGCCCTTCCAGAATAGAAGCACCAACCTTCCAAAGCCCTCTCAACTGACCAGTGATAGAAACCTAGCTGCACCCTTTACTGCACCCCTGCTCAGCATGAAGCAGCTGGAGCAGTTGTCGCCCCTTTTCCCTAACAGCAGCTAAAGTCTCTATCTGTAGAGGGGAAAATGAGACAGGGACCAGAAGCTTAGACAGAATAAAGTGAAAGCCTCTGGAGAAAGCAAGGGAAGAAATTTGCAGTCAGAGCAATGTAACTACATGCTACAAAACTCCCCCTGCCCCACGACGCCCCTTGTCAGCCAGAAGTAGCCAGATCAAGTCGTCGCCCATTATGACCAAAAGGCTGGAATGTAAGGTTGAAGGCACTGGGGAGAAGGGTGAGCATGTCAGACACTGATGACGTGCCAAAGTCCCAGGCTGCTGCCCCCTCCCAACCTGAAAAAATGTGCCTTAGGCTAGCCAATCCTTGCACCGCTGTAAATCTAAGCTCTGCCTCACCCTACCTTCTTTAAAAACTCGCTGCCTGCCCTGCTGAGTGTGACTTCCCCGGCCTATGATAGCCAGACGGGAGTATATCACCCGGGAATTGCACTCAAATAAACTGCCTGGCCCTTTGTTGCCTCTCGTCACCTGCTTATTTCGCCTAGAATTTATCTTACAGCTACCATTATTACATAACTTGAAGTAGTGTACTTGTTACTCTCCTCATCAGTACTTCTTTTTATCACTATGCTTCGATGTATTTCTTTTGAGTGGATGGTTTTTTTTTTTTCTGGTGAATTGGAAATACAACAAAATGGTAATAAAGAAAAATTTAACTTTAACAAATGTAAATATACACAAATTATGTTAATATACTTTGGCTGAGATAAACTGTACTATTAAGTGAATGAGAGAAATGGATCAATGTAATGTTTGTTGTACACATACAACCTATAAAATGCAAAGATGCTCAATAGCATAATGGGATTTCTGTTAAAATTGTAACATGGGGATTGGTGCAACATGTTCCAAGGGTCAGTTTTTTCAGTTTGTTTCCCACACCACTACTTACTAGATGGGTGTCCCCCTGCTTAACCTCTTTGCTTCTGTTTTCTTATCTGCAAAATGGAAGTAATAATAGAATTTATTTTACTGTGTTGTTGTGAGAATTAAATGAGTAATTACATATGAACCACTTTGGACAGTGTCTGGCCCCTTAGTGCTCCATGTTTCCTATTATTAGAAAATAAACACAAGCAGTCCTTATCATTTCCCCACGACAGACTCTTCACTATGTCCATATCATTCATTGACCAAAGGAAATTATCCTGTTAATCAAAATACCTTCCTCATAGATTGTCTCCGGTTTTGGTTGTCCGTATCTGCCTTCCCAGACCGTAAGCACCGAGATCCTCTTACACTACCAGCTCCATAGCAGGCATTCAAAAATTAAGTTATTGAACTTTTTTCACCAAAGGTCCTTAAAAGAGAAAAAAACTCTAGGAAATATTATAAATCACCATTAAAAGTTTAAGCATAAGACCATCTAAAATAAAATTTAAAGAACAAATCGCCGGCAGAGTTGCCAAACGGACGAATCCAGCACCAAACGAAGCTTTTCAGTGAAATTGTTTTTTACAGACGTCACTCGATTACAGCCCTCTGACGAACGGGAGGCGGGATCAAGGAGCCAGCCGGACGTCTTCCTTGCCCTCCCTCCTCCTCCGGACCAGTTGGCGCGGGGGCCAGCCCAGCCTCTGGTCGATTTGGCCTTTCCATTGGTCAGTTTCCCCCAGGAGGCTGGCCGCGGGGGATGACTCAGTCCACTCTGTGGGCGGGGTCTGTCCGTCCTCCTGCTGGGGACGGTGGGGGTTGCCGCCGCTGCCATCTTGGATTCCGTGGTAGCGGTGGCGGCCGTAGGGTACCGCATCTGGGGAGTGGCTCTTCCCTCACCCCCCGGTTCGGTGGTGGTGGCTCCTCCCTCTGGGGGGGGTGCGACGGCAGTGGCATCTAGGGCCATGGCGGCGACTACTGCTAACCCGGGTGAGGAGACGGAGGATTGGGGCGCCTCTAAGGAGGAGAGGCTGAAGGGGTTGGCAACAGGAGACCCAGGCTGAGGGGCCGTGGTTGAGGCTGAGGGCGCGGAGACTGCCGGGGATGAGGACGGGGCGGTGGGGGGATGGGAGGGGCCGGGGGTTGGGGGCCTGACCCTAGGGAGCAGGGGAGACAGGAGGTCGGAGGGGAGCGGGCGGGTGGGAGTTCCATGCCCTGAGTTCTGCTGGAGCGGCTGCCCGCGCGGGGCAGGTCCGCCTCAACTCTCCCGGCGGCGTCCTGGACTGCGATGTGGTCCTCTTTCAGTCCTCTGCCCGCTGGAACTGCTTGATGCTGAATAACTGGGTAGAATGGCTTGTTTTACTGAAGGTAGTTTGGATTTCTAAACACTGGACCACAGTGCCGTTTAGCTGAAATGTTAGTTCCAGACGTTTAGATTTTCGTTTAAATTTAAAAATTCTTTGGGCATATACTCCCAGTTTCTTTAAGCTGTACCTCCCCCACCCCTTCCACGTTCTCCCGCGCTATCTTTTGAATCTTGCCTTATGTACTAAGAGGTATCTCTAGTGTGTTTAGCTACTGAGGGCAGAATGGTGGAGGTTCAGAACAGATCTTGCCAACAGCGTTTCCACACCCCGGGTTTAAATCTTGTTAGGTGTAGGTCGAGGCAGTTCTCATTCTTTAAGAAAAGTTCAGTCCCGTGCCACTTCTCAGTGAACATCTATTCAAAAAGGGGAGCTTGAACATTTCAAAAAAAAAGAAAAGTCAAGTCAGTCATAAGCCATGGAGTGGAGTGGAGTGCAGCAGGTCTAGACTGATCAGGTCTTCAAATTCCTAGTCCCACTCTTTTCCCACTGTATGACAGTTATTCTTTCTATGAAGTACTTCATTTTAGGGATCCTACTTTATCTTGCCGACCTTGGCCATTCTCTTGCGTATATAAAATCCTTTCCCAGAAATCCCTATCTTTGATAGCCTTAAAAAGAAGAGAGAGTTGGTCGTGAATTTCTTGAAAATACAGCAGTGGGAGTGATTAACTGGTGTTCCCACGTTGAGATTTAAATCGGATTTTTTCGTGTCTCTGAAAGGCAGTATTATTTTGCAGTACCCAGATTTTGCTAATACAGTTGAATCACTGTGAAATTTACTGTCTTTCCTACCATGTTTCCTGGAACAGAGCTATTTAAAGAAGTTATTTTGTCGCATGTCAGTATCATAGTTTTAAATCCTTTTAATTTTTTTAGAGGAAAAGGAAATAAAAATGAACGGCTAAAATTTCATTGCAGAAAGTGCTGAGCAATGGAATAAAATGGGAAAGGTAATATTATTATGGCAAACCTGACCTTGTAGTAAAATAACCTATCTGTTAACAAGGGAGTACAAAAACAAGATTTTAAACTGATAACACATTGCAAAATACTTAAATAACTAGTCAAGTTGCAAAGCATTTCTCTTATTGAGGTGACCAAGGTAAACAAGTTTAATGCATGTGTCAGAAGCTTTTTTCCAGCAGTGTGGATGGGGTTTGGTTTATTTATTTTTTTAAACAACAGTAACCAGAATGACAGTCTCTTCACCATATTTTTCTTAGCTGATCAATATCAGCTTAATTCTGTAACAAGACAATAACATTTGTGCAGAATCTTTTCTAAGTGAAAAGTTGATTATGTTTATTGTCCTTTGGCAGCCTATTTCTGCAGTTTTTAGATTCCTTATTTGATGCTGAAAAATTCTCTCATCTCTTCCAGGTTACTGATCCCACGTTTACATGATAATTAAATTAGAAAATATGTTTTCTTCAGAAGTTCCTCTCCCTTTGCCCCCTTTATATCAAAAGGAAGTGATGATAGATGCATTGTGGACTTAGTAATGTGTTGCATTTTGGAAAATGAGGACCATGAATGAAGGGATACAGGGTAGAAATATATAGTGTTATGTGAAAAGAAAGTAAATGGTTTTCTGGTCAGAATTCTTTATTGCATTGTCAGACTTTCTTTAGAGCCATTTTAGGGACTAGGGACATCATACCTATTTCTTTGAGTTTTTCCTGCTTTGTCTTTTGCCTGTCCCTAAGTTTCCCTACAGTTCTGGTTAGGCTGTCTTCACATATGTCTACAAAGGATTTTTGTAATAATTATCTACCTTCTCTCAAAGCTTCACTGAAGTTAATCCTTAGATTAATAGCAATGCTTGATGATAATGTTAATTGTACTTAGATTATGATTTGGAGACTGTTAGTAGTCCTTCAGTGTCTTGAAGGAGACCTGGTTCCTTTTCATTTTTCATTGTGTCTTAACATGGTGCTGGATCAAAAGAAGATATGGTTTATATTCTACTCTCTGTAAGTTATGTTGAAGTAATAGCTCTCATGTGATGATGGCTTTTTTTCTGCATGAGTTGATAATTCTTCATATTCTATTATTCACCAATTCTCCTTACCATTGGCAAGTAGAAGTGGGTGGGTAGGTGGTCCGTGAAATCTTAGGCTATATTTTTAGTGTCTATGGAATACTAACAGTTTTGAGGAACACTTTTTAAATTGCATGTGTTTGGTAATTTGCATGTGCTTGACTAAGGCATGTTGAGAAGAGGTTTAAGTATTTGATTTGTATTTCAGTATTCAAACCAGAGATGTGAATGAGTTTGTAAGAGTGTAGATTTTTCTTCCCTTGATTCTCATTGGTAGAGACCTCCTTTTGTGCTATTAGGTTCCATTTGTTGTGGATGAAGAATGTGGTAGAAGGCAAAGGAGGGAACATTGATTTGTAAGGCTGACATTTAGGAAAAATTCTTCTTTACACATAATTCTCACCTGTAGTTTTAAAACCTCAGTTATATAGAAGCAATCTAAATGTCCATTGAGAGATTAATGTATAAAAAATAGGTAGTGTACACACACACACGTACCACACACACACACACACACAGGAATATCACTCAGCCATGAAAAAGAATGAAACTTTGCCATTTGTGACAATTTGGTTGGAACTAGAGGGTATTATGCAAAATGAAATATGTCAAAGACAAATACCATACAATTTAATTGGAATCTAAAAAAACTAAAACAAGTAAATGAAAAACAGAAATAGACTCAAATAGAACAAACTGGTGGTTGCCAGAGGGAAGGGGGGTAGGAGTATAGGCCAAATAGTTGAAGGGAATTAAGAGGTACAAACTTCCAGTTATACAATAATTCACAGGGATAAAAAGAACAGTATAAGAAATAGTCAATAACATTCTAATAACTTTGTATGATGATACAGATGATAACTACTTAATGGTGAGCATTTCATAATACATGTAATTGTTGAATCACTGTGTTGTACACCCAAAACTAGTAATAGTATTGTATGTCAACTATACTTCAATTAAAAAAATTTTTAAAGAACCATTTAACAAAATTCTTACCTATTACTTTTACTTAACCTTTTTTCAGATAGGGGAAAATAGGAATTTATGCAGTGTAAAATTAAGATGCCAAGATACTTTTTTATCCTATTGCAAAAACTTTTGTGAAAAGTGTTAAAAAAACATTTTAATTCAGCAATTGAAATACAGTTAACATTTTTAAAAAAGAACCTTAATCTACATACTTTTTATACTATTTGTGGTATCAACCTGAACCTTCTCTTATTTTCTTAGAAATAAGAAATAGATAGTTCTGCATTATTGGAACTCTAGTTTTCTTGTGAATTAGTGGTTTCTCAGCTTAGTTTTTTGCATTCCAGTCCTACCATTCTATTTAAGCAATCCACTAACAGATAAGAATTATGTGTTCTTTAGTGGATGTTTTATGAAAGTTTTTTGTGGTTCTCTGCTATGGAAGCCTTACTTCTAAGGCAATAACAACAGGGGTTTCTAGTGCCAGGTGGTGGTTAATCTTCAAAAGCTAAATTGTAACATTAAATAAATTAAACCCTTTTTCCTTGATTTTACTTGGACTGTGATATCTTTCAGGTATTTCACCTCAAAACTAAAAGTTGAATCCTTAATTGTGGAAACTGTCTTTGGATCTTTCTTAAAAACAATATTTATAATACTTATTTTATTTTAAATATTATGAGTATTTATAATGTTTATTTAAAGTGTTAATTCCCTGGTGGCACAGTCCTACGTGGGCAGAAAGGTAACACTTCTGTAAATGCTATCCATCATCTCTCTGGTTGTATAGCTGTTTCATTTAGATGTAACAATAAAACAGTATGTTTAAGGCAAGGGTTAATGAAGTCTCTCTGGGCTCATCAGCCATACCCATGATAGGTCCTGCTTGTAGAACCATCTGTTTTTAAGAATGCACCCTAATCTGCGATGGTGACTTCAGAAAATAGACATCAGTGAATGCTGGAGTTGGAATTAAATGACCTTTATCATTTTACATATAAGGAAACAAACCCAGAGAAAAGAATGGATGCATTTCTTAGACATTTGTTAAGTTCCTACTATATGCCAGGCAATGCTTTCCTCTTTTGTTGGCTATTCTGTATGTTAGAAACTATCTTTCACTTTGCGAATCAGTTCTCTAAAATTAATTTTTTCATTATTTCTTCATTTTGTTTTTCCCTGTAGCTGAATGGACAAAGTAAGTTTATGACTTTAACAATATAATTAGAACTTAAGTTCCCTGAAAGCAGGACCTTTACCTTCCTTGTTCACCCTAGCTCACAGTGGTGCCTAGTGTGTAGGACTAATTCAATAAATGTTAAATAAATGAATGTTGTAAAACCCAGCATTAGAAGTTCATGTCTTTATGCACTGATGATAGGAAAATACCTCTGGAAAGGATAACCATTAAGCCATTAACATCATTAAAGAATTTATAACAGCTAACATTTATTAATAATTACATGCTAGCTAATCTAAATATATATTATCTAAATATCTATTCTCTCACTTAATCCACCTGTATTACCTCATTTATTCTTTACAACAATCCTATGAGGTATGTATTAATACCCTTGTTTTACAGTTGGAGAAACTAAGGCACAGTGAGTAAGCAGTTTGGAGTTGCATAGCTAGTGGTGGATAGAGATAGTTTGATTGCTGGCAGTCCATCTGCACAGTCAACATTCTTAATCGCTGTTACAAGACTTTTCCCTTTATGACTGTCACTTCCTACTGACATGTAGTATAATGGATATCTTTTGAGAAAGAGGAGAGTGGAGTATTATCTTTTTTTGTAGATGAAGAAGGTGAAATAGCATATCATGCATCCAGGAGGGCACAGTTGCTTGGATGGAGAGGTAACTGAAAAGTGCTTAAAAAAGAGGCTTGGAAAAGTATTGTAGTTCCTAAAATGTTTTCTATGCCTATGCTCTTTCTTCATCATTGTTTTCAGCTCTTTAAATAACTTGTAAGGTGCTTACTGGAATCCTTCTAGTTCTTCATACCCCATAATTTGTGTCTTTTTGATGTGCCTCTCCTTGACTTGGCTTCAGAGACAATACATTGCTTATTTTTCTCACTGACTGTCCTTTGTCCCTTTTGCCTGCTCATTTTCTTTTTCTTGTTCATTATGCTTCTTTTCTAGTCTCATTCCCAGTGCTCGAACTCTAATTTGTAAGCTACTATCATTTTTATTTGCCCACCTACGTGACTTCTACTTTCTTGTCTTCCAGCCCTAATTAAACATTTATTTGGTAACTATGTCCCATTCTCTTCATTATCTTTTATTCCTGTGTTCTCACATAAGCTTCTTTCCTAAATTTTCATCTATTTAAAATATTTCTATTTGAATAATCTTTAATGTGCTATTTATATATATGCTCACCATCATTTCCTTCAAATCTGCTGCCCTTCCTAACTTTTCAGTACCTTTCAATACTATCAGAGTTTTTCCAGTTCCCCAGGTTAAGCAACTAGAAGTGTTTGGATTCTTTTATGTATTTATCTTGTTGGTTATCCAGCTAGTTTTTTTTACATAAAAACAGTTTGTAAACATAAAGAGATATGAAAACATATGAAACTTTTTAACCATATAATATTTAAAATAGATATATTTAAACACGTAAGCTTATATGTGTTCGAAGTTATTTTTATCAGAATTGTGCGTGTATTTAAAGACTTAATTTAAAATTATTTGTTAAAAAAATGGTATTCCTCTACTCCCATTCTCAGTTCTTTCTTTCTAGTGACAACCATTTTTATCTCATTTAGCCAAACTTTTGTTTAACTAAAATCTTCCAGAAGTAGAAGACATGAGTTTTCAAATTGAAGGGGCCAGATCAATAAATGAAAATGCACCTGTTTCAAATATAGAGTGTATCATACAAACTCCGGAGAGAAAAAAATGGGTCAGTTCAAAAGAATCATTAATCTGATTGGTCTTGCTTCTCAGTAGTCAATTGGAAAGTAGAAGACAATAGAGCAATGCCTTCAGAAATCTGAGGGCAAGAAATTTCCAACTTAGAATTCCATAATAGACAAACTATCAGCGAAGTAGAAGGAAGATATTTTCATACATCCGGGGTCTCCCTTATACTCTTTCAGGAACTTAGTGGGGTGTGTTTCACCAGTCCGAGAAAGTAAAGCAAGAGAAAGGAAACATGGAATACAGGAACGTGGCAGTACAACAGGAAAAGTGAAGCATCCATTTTGTATTCATTGCTGTTAGTTTCCCGGTTTTCAGTTATGGGTACCCTCACTTTCAGTTTCTGTTCTCCAAACCAGAGGACCACTTGATTTATACTCTCCAGAGAATAAATCATTATTATGACAGGCTGGAGAAGGGGAAGTTTCCCTAAAAGGAAGAGAGAAAGGATCTGGTAATCTACCTGCTGATTAAACAGGTGGTAAAACAATCCTTTTTATTTTAGCTTTCATTCACCTGCATCCTTCCCCTCACACCCAATAGCGATAACATGTAACACACAGAGGCACCTGGAATCACCAGTTCCAGAGACTTTAGGGGATTTCAACATGTAAATTGGGTTGGTTTCCTGCTTTTTCACTTGCTTGCGTAGGATTCAGTTCTTAATGGGTCCACCAAGGCAGTGGTACCAGTTTCTGAAATTTATTGCTCTTTTCTTCCTTCCGTTCTAAACATAAGGTCTTATATCTTGTATAAACTTGTTTTTCTGTTTTATGCAAAATTTTTTTGGGTGGGGGGAGAATAAAAGTAGATGTATACTTTTAACCCCTACGCTTATTCAGAAGTTACAGAGTTAAAAATTTTAGAGGTTCTTTTACCTTTTCATTCTACTATCATGCCAATTTAGGCCTGTATCACCTCATTTTTTTAGTCTAATTTATCTCCCTGTTTCTGTTACTTCAAATTATCCATACATCCACCAAACTTTGAATCTGTCAGATTAATCTTTTAATTTACATTTTCTTGTCATTCTGACCTAAAGGTATGTATTCTCTTTCACTTGTTTCTGTTGAGTCGGATCTAAGATTTCATCTTAGCATTCAAGGCCTTCTCACAATTGAGTAGCATGTGGCATCTTGTTTTTACTCCTGACCACTGATTCTATGTTCTATGTAAGCCTGTTTCTCTATAGCGCTTTATGTATTTTCATACCTTCCCTTAGGACTTGCTCATGTTTACTCATGTTCTCTGTTCTATGTGGCATGCTTTTTTCCTCTCCTGTACTTTTTCTTAGGCCAAGCTTAATGTACCTTTTTGCAACTTTATGACTGGCTGGTTGCCTGCCTTGTTTCCTTTAATTTTTCCTTCCTATTGACTACCTTGTTATGCTACAGACTATGCCAGGCCTTAATTTAAACCATTTCAGAATCATCTTTTCTTTCTCTAAATTCTTCTCTTAGGATCCATTGTAAACCTATTACTAAAAGTATGAATCATATTTTATCGAAAAATTTTGCTTTTTCTTAGGAAAATTACATATGCTCATTATTTAAATAAAACTTAAGGGATGAAATAGAAAAAGTTAATAGTTACAAAACTGTACTCAGTCTTACTAATAAAAGAGAAGTGTACACTAAACCCATGGTGATCATCATTTATACCTAGAAAATTAGTAAAAATTTGAAGGATGAATAATTTGATAGTGTTAGTGAGGAATAACCTTCTTGGAGGGTAATGAGCAAAAAAATTTTTTTTCTTTTAGAATGAGATTTTATTTGTTTTGAGGGTCAGTACACAGACATTTCAGTTTGTACACAATTCTTAATGTATGTACCAATTATCTAGAAAATCATGTAGTTGTGATTTTTTTCCCAACAGTTATTCCAGTGACTTTCCAGCTTAAACTTTGGAGGCAGATTTTCCTTAATAGGATATTAAGTACCATTATCTTCAAATGTTGATATGCTGTTACATTATTAAGTTTCACTAATTCACAACTTCATACCATGCACACTACATATGCAAATTTTCAATCTTTCACAGCACATTAACAAAGTTATTAGGAAAATTGGACTGCCATGACCAAAGATGTTGCAGAGTGCACAAAATTCTGACAGGGAGAGCCAAGATCAAGGAGTGGTTTTCTTTAGGAAACCTACCAAAAACAGCACAGTAGTAGAAGTAATTTAAAATGTTTAAGATATGTTAAATGCATGACTGACTCCAAATTACCATTTAGGATGTTTATATTACAGGATGTAAAAACTAACCCCCATTATGGAATGTTAAGCTGACACCCAAGACATTCAAAGCCTCCTATATTCAATATCCCACTATTTTCTGGTTGTACCAAAAAATAATCAGCAAATGATTTCACCTTTTAAAAAATGGGATGAGGGGGGATTCCCTCCTTCTTAAAAATGTTTCTAGGGCTACCAAAATACTTGCATTTACAAAATAGTTGATAAAAATATTCCTCTGAATTGTACAAGAAGGGAGACAGGAACCACTGATAAGACATGGTGTATATATGATATTAATCAGGCTTGGCTTCTTTCTCTTCTGCTTCATCAGAGGCTGGACTCTCCTCATTTTTAGTTTCTCCTTTTTCTGCAGGTAAATCTTTAGTTTCCTGGTTGGCCACTTCGGCCTGCTTTTCCTTTGCTCCCTTTTTCCCATTTGTTTGCACTTTCTTGTCTGAAGATTTAGCCTTTCCTGCCGCCTTTATTGGCTTCGTTTCCACTTTTGCGGGAGCTGGTTTAGCTGACAACCTTGCTGATTGCCTCTTTGGCTCCACCTCCATGCCCTCGGTGGAGCTGACCTTCCTCTTGGACATCTTGGCACACCGAGGGCCTTCGCAAAGCAGGGCTGCCTTGCCTATGCCTGTCCTCCCGATGTAATGAGCAGTTTTAAATGTGCTCCCTTAGGCACTGCAAGTCATTTCTAGAAATCTGCTAGTATAGAAATACTGGCACCTGTGCATAAAGATGCAGAAGATGTTCACTGAATGATAGTGATAGTTTGTCATAAATATTTGCATTTGTACTATGAACTACTGTATAACTCTTAGAAAGAATGAGCTAACTGTGTTTATTGATAAGGCACACCTTCCGACGTATATTGTTACATGGAAAAAATAAAAGGTTCAGAATAAATACAATATGATTCCTCCCCTTTTTAAATATAAAAATCAACAAAAATCCTCTAATAGAGGATGTATGGAAAAAGGTCTGGAAGGATTCATATCAAAATGTTAACAGCAGTTACCCTTAGGGAAAAGTGAATTAAAATATGTGTGTAGAATTGTACTTGTCTGCTTCTGTATTGTATGAATATTTTTAGAGACATCTATGTTTGATTTTCTGTTGTATATCTATACTGTATCTTAATATATTTTGTAATGAAAAAATGATGGTAAAATCAACATTTTGGTGTTTGATATATTTTTATAAAGCTACTATTTAGGGAATACTTACAGTGTGTCAGGCACTCTTCACATGCAGTGTCTAATTTAATCTTCCCTCAAGGTGTAGATACTGTTATTAGCTACATTTTACAGATAAACTCAAGAGATTAAGTGATTTGCCCAAGGTCATACAAGTGTTAAGTGGTAACCTTAAGATTGGAATCCAGATTTATTCAACTAGAGTTTGAATTGTGTTTTCTCAGATTATCAGTGCATGCCACACACACAGGCATATATATGTATGTATGTATGTATAAACACATTTTCTTTTTAAAAAATTGGCATCATGAACATATCTCCCAGGGCAAGGGAAACAAAAGCAAAAATGAACAAATGGGACTATATCAAACTAAAAAACCTCTGTACAACAAAGGACACCATCAGTAGAACAAAAAGACATCCTACAGTATGGGAGAATATATTCATAAATGACAGATCCGATAAGGGGTTCACATCTAAATTATATAAAGAGCTTATGCACCTCAACAAACAAAAAGCAAATAAGCCAATTAAAAAATGGGCAGAGGAGCTGAACAAACACTTCTCCAAAGAAGAAATTGAGATGGCCAAAAGGCACATGAAAAGATGTTCCACATACCTAATCATCACAGAAATGCTCATTAAAACCACAATGAGATATCACCTCATACCAGTTAGGATGGCCGACATCCAAAAGACAAACAACAACACATGTTGGCGAGGGTGTGGAGAAAGGGGAACCCTCCTACACTGCTGGTGGGAATGTAAAATAGTTCAACCATTGTGGAAAGCAGTATGGAGGTTCCTCAAAATAGAAATACCATTTGACCCAGGAGTTCCACTGCTAGGAATTTACCCTAAAAATGCAGGAGCCCTGTTTGAAAAAGACATATGCACCCTTATGTTTATCACAGCACTATTTACAGTAACCAAGAAATGGAAACAACCTAAGTGTCCATCAGTAGATGAATGGATAAAGAAGATGTGGTACATATACACAATATTCAGCCATAAGAAGAAAAATCCTACCATTTGCAACAACCTGGATGGATCTAGAGGGTATCATGCTCAGTGAAATAAGCCAGGCAGAGAAAGACAAGTATCAAATGATTTCACTCATCTGTGGAGTATAAGAACAAAGAAAAAACTGAAGGAACAAAACAGCAGCAGACTCACAGAACCCAAGAATGGATTAGCAGTTATCAAAGGGAAAGGGATTGGGGAAGATGGTTTGGAAGGGAGGGATAAGGGGGAAAAGGGAGCATTACGATTAGCATGTATAATGTAGGTAGGGGGGACATGGGGAAGGCAGTATAACATAGAGAAGACGTAGTGATTCTATAGCATCTTACTATGCTGATGGACAGTGACTGTAATGGGGTATGTGGCGGGGACTTGAGAATAGGGGGAGTCTAGTAACCATAATGTTCATGTAATTGTACACTAATGATAGCAAAAAAAATTGGGATCATGTATTTTCTGATTAAAAAGCAATATATACTAATGTAAAAGGCAAAACAATATGGATATCTAGAAAATCAAATGTAGACATCTCTAAATGCCATCTCAGAGATAACCACTGTTAATATTTTATTGTCTAACATTTGCTCATTCCATTCTAGCTGTGATACCATATTTCTAAAACTTAATAGTCAGGCTCTCACCTCTCGGTCTTTGTACTCTGTCAAGAATGCATTTCCCCCAGATACCTGCATGGTTTATTGTTTATTCCTTTACCTCCTTCTGATCTTTCCTAAATGTTATCTTTTCAGTGAGGCTTTCCTGATCTAAAATTGCTGCCCTCCTATCCTTGAACCTTTATATACACTTGGTTTGACTTCCCCTAATTAATTTTTCTCCACATTTATAACTGTGTCATATTATTAGGTTGAAACAATATGACATTACTGATATTTATGCATTTTTTACTTAATAAAATGTCAGTTTCATACTGTCAATCCAACTTACATTTTAATTCTCATTTCTCTCTCCCACTAACATGTAAAATTCATAAGGGTTAGGATTTCTGTCTATCCTATGTATTGCTTTGTCTCTAGGGCCTGCAATGGTGCCTGATGTATAGCAGGCATACAATAAATATTAAATGAAGTCTTCCAGGTTTTTGTTATGCATATAAACTTTAAAAAGGATTATATTATATATACTTTTCTGTAGCTTATTTTTTCATAATCATATGGTGGATAACTTAATTTCAGTGATGTAGAGTGACCTCAAAATTTTTTTGATATAATTTGTTTTATTATGGCAAAATACACGTAACATGAAATTTGCCATTTTAACCATTTTTAAGTGTACTATATCCACATTTTTGTGTATCCATCACCCATCTACCTCCAGAAATTATTTTTGTCTTGCAAAATTGAAACTCTGTGCTGATTAAACAATAACTCCCCTTTCACCAATCTCTTCAACCCCTGGCATCCACTGTTCTGAATTCTGTCTCCATGAAATTGACTATTTTGGGTACCTTGTAGAAGTGGAATCATGTAGTATTTGTCCTTCTGTGGCTGATTTATTTTCACTTAGCATGATATCTTCTAGATTCATCCATATTGTAGTGTGTTGCAGAATTTTTTAAGGTGGGATACTATTCTACCTTGGATATATATCCCACAGTTTTTTAAATCCATTCATCTGTTGATGGACACTTGGGTTGCTTTCACCTCTTGGCTATTGTGAATAATGCTTTTATGAAAGTGGATGTTGTACAAGTATCTCTTTGAAACCCTGCTTTCAGTTCTTTTGAGTATATACCCAGGATTGAAATTGTTGGATCATGTAGTAATTCTGTTTCTAATTTTTTGAGGAATCTTCATAACTATCTTCCATAGTAGCTACAACATTCTACATTCCCACCAATAGTGCGCAGGAGTTCCAATTCTCCAACATCTTCATCAGTGCTTTTTTTTTTTTTGAGAGGGCATCTCTCATATTTATTGATCAAATGGTTGTTAACAACAATAAAATTCTGTATAGGGGACTCAATGCTCAATGCACAATCATTAATCCACCCACAGCCTAATTCTCATCAGTCTCCAATCTTCTGAAGCATAACGAACAAGTTCTTACATGGTGAACAAATTCTTACATAGTGAATAAGTTCTTACATGGTGAACAGTACAAGGGCAGTCATCACAGAAACTTTCGGTTTTGATCA